ACAGAATTTTTCAGAGGATCTTGCTAGAAGAGGTGAGGAACAACTAGAGAGAGATTCAAGGCTTAAGCTGGAAGAGAGTGTGGATCCCCAAGTGTCTGATTCACAAGGAAATATTCCATAAAGATGTCCCGCTTTAAGCACCGGGCAAAAAGTTCATACACAGATTCCTGCTTACCCACAATTGCAAAAAACCCAACCCTAAACACCACCAGCAATCAAGGTTGACAGGTAGCAGTTTGAACATTTGTTCATTAACGTTTGATTCCACACAAGAACCTAAAGAGAAGATTTTGAGGGGAAAAATAAGATATGAGAAACATCACGTAAAGGAAACTCGCCTGCTTCCTTCACCAACTACTCCTAAAAACAACTTCAGTGTTGGTGCCAAATCACAGAACTACTTAAAAATGGAGAGCTCCTTATGATCCAGAGAAGACTACAACACTGCTAAGAATTTAAGCAAGGGAGTTGCACCAGTTTTGTTTCATCAGTAACTGGTGTCTCAGAGCTGTCTGACAGATAGAGGTAAGGCTAGCAGTGGAAGCAGTGCTCAAACCACTTCTGAAAATCTGCTTAAGAAGTTACAGGTTTCTGGCTTACCTATCAGAAAAGAAATGAGAGGGAAGGAAAGGGATGGAAGAGAAAGAATGGGAATAATTTCTCTAGATACTTGAAAGCAGTCAAGTAGTTCTCCTCTTCAACTCTGTAAGAGACCTTTTTTCCCTGCAAAAGAAAGCTTCTTTTCTTACATGGACTTGATGGGTCAGTTTGTCCTTCACAGCCGAAGAGGCTGTTTCAACCACTAATTGCTTCTGGTTAGGAGAAAAAAAAAAAAAAAAAAATTATTCCACAAGCATGGCTCTCCGCCTTTAAAATGTAGAAAGGTCAGAGTGTTTGTGGGGATTTCTGTTTGTTTTATATCAATAACAGAAGGCAAAAGCAGACAGCAACGCAGATTGCTCTAGAGCTCAAGTCAGTTCTAAATCCATGGAACTCCAGAAATGGAAACAGCCTGGTTGTCATAGCAGCGGAGCATGATACCTGAGCTAATTACTCAGTCTGAGAGGCAGAGCTAATTAGCCCAGATGCAGCATCACACTGACACAGTTATAATCCTTCTGGGACCTGGGCACGCATATTGCTGATTAGACATTTCAGCTTGCTTGCAACTAGCTCAGAGATGTCAGCATACTACACTGTGCTTTACGTGAGTGTTCAAAAAAAAGGGGAAAAAAAGCAAAAATGTGTTCCTACAAAGACGAAAGCAATGGAAAAGAGCTCTCAAAAGAAAACTCTGAACACTGATCTGCAACTCTTCTGCAAGAGAGGAGGATGCCTGTGTCCACAATGCTACAGACCAAACTACAACATTTGAAATGGAAATCTCAGTAGTACGGATACACTTCCAACCCTCAGCCAAGTGAAAGCTATTTGAAAAATTGGTATATCATTAGGACAACCTAAATTCAGAAAGTTCTCCGTTATCTAAAAATGCAAAACCCTAAATCACGTTCCTGACAGAGAAGAAGGTAAATACAACACCACCTGCTTCACAGATTGTGAATACTGTGGAAAATAAAAACCTACTACCAACAAACCAACCTGTTTTTTTCAAGGACTGGAAACAGCATTTATTGGCTGTTTTTTCCAGGAAGAGCAAGTATTTTAAAACTAACTTTTTCGTCTTTCTAAGGTACTATCTGATACAAGATCCTCCCTCTAGAAGAAGCAATGCATTTTAAAAGGGTAGGAAACAAAAAGTGAATAGGTAAATTTATCAGTCCTTGTTAAGCATTTTTCTGCCACAGAAATACAATGTAACATCATGGAGAAGACTGCACCGCACAGCCGAACTGTGAAAGGCAGGGATTTCTGCTGGTATTCTTGAAGAAAAAAATAGCAAGATAAAGGGAAATTTCTTTAAGAAACTATTTTCGCTTCTTTGTAATCAAAATCAGCAATGGCAACACACATACAGATTGAGCAGGCAAACTAGTGGAAAGATGGCATGAAAAGTGATTTAACACCCGTGCAAATCTAATTATTGAATTGAGATGCTTTTGGTAGTTCAATAGTACAAACTTCTAATTTATACCAAATGATCCTTTAGAAACCCAGAAAGATTACTGAAGCCTAAAAACAAATGCTAAAAACAAATCTCTCATGTTTTAATGGACATTACTGTACGAACCAGAACACATTATATAGAAAGTAACTGATTAAACAGATACTCAGAAGAGTTGACAAAGGACAGACGTGCTTGAATATTTCATTTATATTTATTCAATTTTGTTGCACAGATCTTTTAAGTTCGCCTGCAAAATACATTAATTTTACAATTTTTTAGTATTAATAATTTACATAGCATGCCTGCTTATTCATATTTACAATAGATCACTTCTCATTTCAGGAACATCTCTAAGCAAAGCTGGAGGATGCTAAGAGGTTTATTCAAGCGTACGCACTGCCCAAGAGAATGGGATAAATATATAAAAATCAATGTTTCTCTAAACAGAAAGATATTTTTGTCGGCGTCAATACTGTTGCTAAATAAAACAGTTTTGTGCCTAAATGATTTCTAATTAAAGTCAGAAAATAGGCACACATTCTTCACCTGCTTAAAACTCATGAAAGAAATATCATGCTAAGTGCATTTTACACATATTTAGATATCAAATAATTCTAAGCACTAATAAAATTCTAAGCACTAGGTAGATTTATAAACCTAGCAACACTTTCAGAGCTTCCTGAGGAACCTCCTCCCAAGCTAGTTGTCCTCCTCCCTTCAAGTTAATGATCACAAAGTTAAGTATATTATCAGTAAGCATTTAGATCCAACACTGGAAAAGAAGGCTGGAGAATCCAGGACAACGTTAGTGGAGCAAACTGAAAAGAAGAAAATTAAGGAACATTAAGGAAGATAAAGCAGCCATTGAGATTCACGAGGAGCTGTTATTTATCAGAAATGGAAACAAACAAGAATGTCAACAAAATCTTTAAAGGAAATAAAAATATCATAATAGAGCATATAATCTTCCCATGAAAAAGAAACTTGGTCTTCCTCACAAAATACAGGAAATCCCCAGATTTCTATACCTCGTTTCCATTAAGGACAGCTTAGCATGCATTTTACCCTAAGTGGGGTAAAATCTCTTCTGATAAAGTTTATACTTATTCTAGAAAACAGACATGTTACTGGAAATTGGAAAGAACAGAACTGTTTGCCAGGATTTTAACCCTGTTTACATCTGTTACCGTACCCACTGCAAGAATTCCAACACAGAAATAAATCCCCCAAAGACACTATAAACTCAGGGGACAAGTCATTTTTGCTAACTTTCGCCTACCACTGCTGTTTGGGAAGGCCACTAAAGCAAGCTCAGCAGAGAGATATCCCTGAGGGTACAAAGCAGAGTACTGAAAATGAACAGAAAGTCACCATTTAAAAAAAAAAAAAAATTAAAAGAAGAAAGTAAATGACATCAGCCACTTGGAGTGCTGCTGCCTCACAGCCAATAACAGAAAGCTTTTCTGGGAAGCAATCGCTTCAGCAGCATATGGCTGACAGTGGGCATTCAGCCTGCATCAGTCAGTAACAAGAGGTTTAATAATATGAATCTTCTGAGATTATAAGAGTGCTGCCTTCTCTAACAAGGAGAAAGGAAGGAAGTAAAAATTAGAGAGCAGCAGGGGAATGAAGATATATTTATGACATGCCTCCACCAAAAGCTTGCATCAACAAGAATAAAAACATATGGCAAACGATCCCTTTGGTTTAATGCTCCCCACATTCTTAGAAAGAAGCTTGCGGGTTTTTTTTTCATATACACCTTTAGGAGAGTGTTAAAAAAAAGCAAACAGAATACAACTGCTTTCACATAAGCTGCCAAACAAGTCTGAAAAATATTTTAGGGATTCTGCGTGAACAGTACAGACATTGACACAGGATGGTAATCTAAACCCTAAGCTCAGCCCTTTCACAGAATGCTTCCAGAGCTTCAGCCTTTCCTATCATGGATAAAATAAGTTTATTCCCTTAAGCTATGAAAAGGGGTTGCTGAAGCTGCTGACGGCTCATATTTCTTTTCTCTGATGCTTTTAACTGTACTTGGGATTTCACCTCATACTGAAGAAGGAAGAAAAGGGACTTCTACCCAGATCATTTGATGTCTAAAGGTATATTCCCATATCAGTTACAAAATGAAGAAAAAGAATTTCTGAATTGTGGGTTATTTTCAATTCTACTCAAAGCAAATTATAGGAAGCATCAGGAAACAGTAAATAGTTTGGTTCTGGGTGCTACAGAGAGACTAGAGCTCTGTCTTTCTTTCTTTTCAAGGCTCAGTTAACTGAAAAAAGACAACACATGAAAAATTCATTAGAAGGTACAGCGTGGCAACAGAATGCTAGGAAGACTGACTGCTGCATGCCTGGTAATGGAGACTGCTTAAATAGGGTATAAAAGGCAGGCCACTTGCTGCTGACTTGATAAAGTATTACAGAGGAAGAAATAAGATTGCTGCTTCATCCAGAAGAAATCTTTCTTGCTAATCGAAGTCAACTGAAGCCTGACTCCTTCCTCTTCAGTCTAAAAAACCATCATTTTCCTAGAAAGAAAGAAAAAAAATAGCAAAGTTAAGGTACAGCTACACCTACTAATTCTTGTAATAAAAAAACCTGGGAAAAACCAGAAAGGGGAAGTAAAGATATGCCTACCTTGATTAACAGATCTTTTGTCTCCTTTTGCTGATGAGTAGAGTGTCTCTGTGAGGATTTGTACACTTTAGGATGACAGGAAAGTGAGGAAAAGAAAGGGTAGGCCCTTGACAAACAAACTTTAAATAAAATTATTCCTGAATGTAGACAATATTTCTACGTAAACCATGCATACGAGGAGTACCAATCCATGCGTCTCCCACATCTTTACCAGCATTTGCACTAATACACATTTGTATGACTGTCAGATTTATTCTATACAACTTGTTTCCAACGTTCTGTACCTCGACATCCTGAACACTGGATAAAGAAGTTGATTAAATCCAGAAGTGCTATGTCCCTGTCTTGTTTATATGATTCAATCCAGTCGTCCACCACAGACTGTCAAGAAAAAAAGAATACTTATCAGAGACTCTTAAAAAGTATTTTATTAAAGGCAAATGACTTATTCTTTTCAGAATATAATTTTATAACTGAGCATTTATTTTGCATAATATACATGCGTACAAATTCAGAAATCTATACGCCTTCTCTCAGGGTGGAGACAGAACAAATGTTGTTAGAGAACAGAACTATATGCATTGTTTTTTGGTATTATAATTGTATACACACAGGTTCAAATTGAAATTACTGTAATTCCTCAAAAGTCTACTTGCAGTATTTATCTGGTTTCAAAAACGTGTTGAAAAAACAAACACTGTGATTCTGTTCAGAATGACCAACATATATTGCCAGAAAACTGATGAGTAGAAACACTTTGGGATAAAAACCAAATTTATATCGCACAGTGAACATCTCGGTATTTATAAAGGCCAAAATAGTGTATCAGTCATTCAGAAACACTGTACATAGTTCAGGAAGACAGAATGCAATGAGGAATACTTAGTAAATAAAAATAATACACAGAAGTTGGTCTTACAGTATTTGGGAGTCAATAAGCTACCTGAATCACAGTAGATGAAGCTGAGTCACAGTTTCAAACTGCACTCAGAACTGTAAGTAGCCAGGATATATTTTTATCATCACTCACACGCAGGCGTAGCACACAGTCATTATTACGAATAATAGCAGGGAGGAGGACAGAAAGCATACAGGTGTCAAAAACATTTGTCATTTGTCATATATTAATCTCTGGGGACAGAAAATGTGCCTCAGGAGCTTGATGAAAAAGGGCACTAAATGCATTTTGCCAGTCAACATAAAAGTGCAATCACAGCATCAGAAAGAGTTAATGGCAGATACACATCAGCTGAAAGGAATGCAGAGACATAGAAGGGCAAAGCCTATAGCGGCTTCCCATACAGATTCTTTACCCTACAGTTCTGACTACAGAACCCTTTCAGAGCTGTGCAGACCCACAACTTTTAAAACTCCAGATGGAGGAAAAGGAAGCAATGAGGACAAAGCAAACAAAGTAACTATGGAAATGCTTAAAAACTGTTCTGGAAAAGCAAGAGGGTTTTGTGAGGTCCTTCTTCAGCCTGCCTCATGCTTAAGGAAGGCAAGTATGGCTTCCTGTCATGTCTCTAAAATACAGTATTCCAAGTTCCTCAGTTACATAAACATTGAAGGTAAGGAATTGTGTATATTTAATGTAACCAAATACTATGTTTTACTTATTTTATGAGGGGAAAAAAAAACTTTACTGCTTCATATATGTGGCAGCATTCGTTAAGAGAAGCTTGATTATGCTATCAGAGCACACCTTGCAAATGGATTATTTTATTTTGGAGTTCAGGTTTACAATGAATTTCCATAAAACTAATTTAAAAACATCCTAAACACACACACAGCACCACCCCTACGCAACCAGCTTCCAACCATGCTGAAAAAGAATGAATAGGAAAGACGAAACACAAACAATTCAACCTCTTAAAGAAATTTTGCCTCTTTCTAAACTGGTAGATATAAGGATAGGATCTTGAAAAATCCCTCTGCAGTTTCTAGTTATCCGAACTTCCCCGATTGCCAGTGGGACCTTAGCAAGGGTATGAGAAAAGGGAAGCAGCAAGAAAACAGTTGTGTATGTACCAGAGATGTACACAACTCCCTGAACTGAGCCAAAACACTCCACAGATCACTACACTTGTTCTTAACCCAAGACAGGATGAGACTATCAGTATTACCGTGTTATTCAACAACCAGCATGAATCTCTAAACATTCAATTTGCCAGGAAACTAAGTTTTTAGAGGTTTTGTCTACCAATACACACACACACGCACGCACAGCAGGAGAAGCAATCTTACGAAGAGGTCCATCTGCTACTTAGAAGAAATTAAAAAGGAAGTCTTGGCCTCAAATTAATCTTCACACAAGTTGAGGAAACATGAAGCAGCAGCACAAAACCAGTTATCTAGAATGCTTCACTGATATTTCATCATGAATTTAGACTTGTTCCTGTAACTATCAAACATTTCAATCAATCAGCAGAATTCTCCATGGCACATAAAACCAAATGTAGCCAAATGTAAAAATCATTTACTAAACCAAATATTGACAAAGCTTAATGACCAGACTGCTGGTGTACTACCAACTTAAAACATCTGTTTGAACAGCTATATTAGCATAGATATCAGAACAACATGCAATTGTCAGCAGCTATTTTTTTTCACTAAAGAAAATAGCAGCTGTGCTGGGTCAGACCACAGGTTCACCTGCCCAACAGGGCTTATACACGTATGGAAAGGCATAAGAATAGGGCAAGAATGTACTGATACTTCCGAGTTACTCTCCCAGACCCTTAAGACCCTAGCGTATTTCTTCTCTCATTAATGTGTCTGTCTGAACCAGAAAGTTTTACATCTTCAGCATCTTGCAGCAATGTGTCTCAAGGGTTAATTATTCGCTGCAAAAAAAGAATCATTGTTTTGTTTTAAACTTGCCAATTGCTAGATCTATTTGATGCCACCTAATTCTTATGGAAGGAGAAAAAACAAACCCCAACCCCCTATTTGTATTTTCCATGCTTCTGTCTGGTCACCTCTTTTCAAGCAGAACAATCCTATTCCGTGCCGTGTGGCTTGCACAGAAATACTTCCACTATCTTCATATTTGCTCACTCTTGTCACACATCTCTTAACAGTTTCTGAAGTCTACTACATTCTTCTTTGAGCCTGGGAAATCTCAGATGCTTTTCCTGAGTGTTAATAACTAGTTCACCAGTATCTGTGTGCCCTGTCCACAGCCCAGTTTCACATAAAACATTCCCTGTAGACGCAAGGCTGGCCTGAGAAATTCCTTTCCACATTCAGTCTCACTTGCATTTCTTGCTACGACATACTGCCCCTTCAGCTATACCACTGCAACTGTTTCTGGACTGTGCTATAAATACTGCCAGTGAACCCATCTGGACTAAAAAAAAAAGGGGGATTGGAGGGGAAAGACTTGGAGGAATGTCTTTCAATTTTGTTTCTGCCTCTCTTACACAATTATTTGATTTCTGCAGTACTATCTCAAAATCGTAACATCAGTGCAGCTCATCTCCCTTCTGGTATTTTTTTGTCTCTTCATGCAAAAAGAATTGTAAGGCACATGCTATGTCCTTGGGCGCTAAGGACCCACTCTGTCCTACCTAGTAGAGCACTTGTATTTTCAACCCAGAACCGTAATGCAATGCACAGAAAAATAAAGACAAGCAGCTGATCTCAAGACTCACAGACCAGACTTGAGGCAATGCAGAGTCTTCAGCAGCAGCAGCAGATAAAGAAAGCAGCAAAATCAGAGTGAAGGTTCTGAGCAGGGATAGCAGGCAAAGACTGCCTCCTGTGTCATCTGGACCTAGCAGAGGATTGACAAAGCTTTAACTAAAATTTTGAATGTTTGGGAAGGATTCATCTTGCCTAACTTTACATGCACAGCCCATGTAGTCACACAAGTCACTCAGCATAGCATGTATGTGTGCACACGTGCATACACATATACAGTCAATACTCGGTGGAGTTGTCAGCATAACTCGTCTGTCTAGAGCAGGTGTGCACGGTGAGATGAGATGGCTCCTGCTTAAAAATGCTCCTGATTACACTAAGTAGATCTCCACTGACTGGCTGAGGAGTTTAGGGTGACGAGTGGTGTACACGCACCTGACCTGTCAGCATCAGTACAGTCACACAAATTGTATTCACTAATCCCTAAAAATGAGAAGGGTAGTTTCAGTGTATCAAAATAACACCCACAGATCTACATCATTCAACCCCTCACGCACATTTGGCATGCTTGTTGGTACATTTTTTTAGAGATTACAGTTTAAGGCAACAAGAGATAATGAAGCCAGACTACATATGCTACAACAGTTGGAACTTAATCAAACTGTTGACTTTTGATGTAACAGAAAAGAGCTTTAAAAACTGAAAACACTAGGATGAAAAAATAAAAATGATACACATCAGACCTAAAATAGAGACAAGTATCAACTGAACCAAGAAAAACTAGCAGTAATCCAAATACCAGGAAAAAGGTCGAATACAAGTGAAAGAAATCAAACAACAGGCAACAGTGTGGCAAATGGTGCAACAAGCAATCATTGCCAGAAAAGGAATTATTTTGCATAAACATACATAGAGAGAAAGACCCCTGTTTCTAACCAACAGTCCACAGGTTACAGCAAACCCTCCAGGATGATTTTATCTTGTTAGCGGTCTCCATCCAGTCACCCTGTTTTCAAGAGCTTCTCAGACACAAGCAAAAAGCAAACTCAGGGCAACAAATCACCCTTGGTCACCATCTTGCCCAGAGATACCCTGCCCTGGCCTCCTCCCTGTCGTCTGTCCCAAACACAGCATTGATATTGCAGCAAAGGCACATGCGGTGACAGGAGGAGGACAGGCCAGGCAGCTCTTCGGTAGCTACAAGCGGGCTCCATCCACCAGAAGAATTCATCCCCATAAGAGTCTTGTTGCCTATTTCTGCAAAACACTTATGAAAGATGGTAGGAACAGATTGCGTGAGTTGTTCTGGTGGTACCCATCTGCTTCCAGATGTTTTTACCTTCAGATGCAGTAGAGAGCATGGATTTACCATATGGAAATGTGCACTTGCATGCTGTGCATGAAATACATGATAAATTCAGCATTCCTGGGAAGCACAAGATCTACAGTACATGTGCTGCAGCCCAGGTGCAGGAAATCCATGTTTTTGGGACTCACCAAATTCAGTGCGCATGCACAAGGACAGAGCTCCCCTGACAACAAGGTTCTGCAGCACAACAAATGAGAAGTTGCACAAAAACTCTTTAGCTTCTCATCTTCGTTACCAGATCGGAGTATGGCAAGAAGTATTGAAACTAAATTTTAAGCGAAGTAAAAAATTATCTAGCTCAGTTACATAGATAAAACCTCAAGATTACTCCAGCAACACCCACATGACCCCCTTTCACTCCCTGCTG